AGGGGAGGGGCCTCAGCAGGGAAGAAGAAGAAGAGGAGGAGGAGGAAGAAGAAGAAAAAGAAGAAGAGGAGGAGGAGGAAGAAGAAGAAAAAGAAGAAGAGGAGGAGGAGGAAGAAAAATAAGAAGAGGAAGAAGAAGAAGAAGAGGAGGAAGAAGAAGAAAAAGAGGAGGAGGAAGAAGAAGAGGAGGAGGAAGAAGAAGAGGAGGAGGAGGAGCAGCGTTCCCTCTAAGCTGAGTTAGTTTGAGCTGGCTCACAGTTTTTCAGCCTCCGGCTCAGACATTTTTGTCTCAGCTCAGGAGGAGGAGGAGGAGGAGGAGATTGGATTTATACCCTACCCTTCACTTGGAGTCTCAAGAGTGGCGTACAATCTCCTTCCCTCCCCACAACAGACACCCTGCGAAGTAGGTGGGGCTGAGAGAGCTCTTTCAAGAACTGCTCTGACAGGACTATGGCTTGCCCAAGGTCACCCAGCAGCTGCAAGTGGAGGCGTGGGGAATCAAACCCGGTTCTCCCATGCACTTAACCGTCCGTGCATTTAACCACTACACCAAACTGGCTACAAGTGCCATAGAGTCCGCCTTCCGAAGCAGCCATTTACTCCAAGGGAATGAATCTCTGTTTGGAGATCACTTGAAATCCCAGGAGACCACTGATGGTCTAACAAACCAGGTACGACTTGATGGTTTAATAAACAAGACAGAATTCAGCCGCAAGCTGTGAGTCTATATCAGGAATGACAACGGGATCTTAAAACTTGGAGAAATCAATCTATGCAGGATCTGCCGTGATGATCATGAGGAGATTGCATTTATACCCCCGCCCTTCACTACTCAAAGGAGTCTCAGAGCGCTTCGCAATCTCCTTTCCTTTCCCTCCCCACAGCTGAGTGAGTGTGAGCTAGCTCACAGTTTTTTAGCCTCCGGCTCACAGATTTTTGCCAGCTCAGGAAGGATGGCTCCAGAGCAAACTAACTGATGCGGTAGCCAGATTGCTCGCTCACAACTTTAATGCCAGTAGCTCACAAGGTAGGATTTTTGCTCACAAGACTTGACAGCTTAGAAGGGAGCATTGCCTGTGAGGTAGGCGGGGCTGAGAGAGCTCTTTCGAGGACTGCTCTTGAGAGAACAGCTCTGAGAACTTGTGACTGACCCAAGGTCACACCAGCTGCCTGTATACGGAGGAGTGAGGAATCAAACCCGGTTCTCCCAGATTAGAGTCCTAACCGCTACACCAAACTGGCTACAGCCATCCCTTTGTGGAAACCGTAGGAGGTGCTCTGTATAACCACAACATGGAAGAGAAAGAGAATAGGACTGTTTGCCTTAATGTATCTATTGGCATGTTTTCATCCTTAGACGTTTGGTGGAATGTTTGTAAACAGAAACTTTTGTTGATTGTGAAAAGGTGAAGGAGTTTCACTAAGCTCTGATAATACAAAGACATAGTTATTATGTCACAGTTGTATTTTACTGTTTACCATTCCAACCTGTGGTCACTCCTACTTTAAACCCCTTGCAGGCTGGCAACTCTAATCATGCAGCGGTCTGAAGATGAGCCTTGTGGCTTATTTTCTATTGAGGGAGGGGCCGTGGCTCAATGGTAGAGCCTCTGCTTGGCTTGCAGAAGGTCCCCGGTTCAATCCCCGGCATCTCCAGTTAAAAAGGGCCAAGGAGGAGGTGATGGGAAAGACCTCCGCCTGAGACCCTGGAGAGCTGTAAAGAGGGGCCGTGGCTCAGTGGCAGGGCCTCTGCTTGGCACGCAGAAGGTCCCAGGTTCAGTCCCCGGCACCTCCAGTTAAAAGGACCAGGCAGGAGGTGATGAGAAAGACCTCCGCCTGAGACCCTGGAGAGCTGTAAAGAGGGGCTGAGGCTCAGTGGAAGAGTCTCTGCTTGGCATGCAGAAGGTCCCAGGTTCAATCCCTGGTCTCTCCAATTGAAAGCATCAGGCAGTGGGTGATGGGAAAGACCTCAGCCTGAGACCCTGGAGAGCTGTAAAGAGGGGCTGAGGCTCAGTGGTAGAGCCTCTGCTTGGCATGCAGGAGGTCCCAGGTTCAATCCCTGGTATCTCCAATTGAAAGCATCAGGCAGTGGGTGATGGGAAAGACCTCCGCCTGAGACCCTGGAGAGCTGTAAAGAGGGGCTGTGGCTCAGTGGTAGAGCCTCTGCTTGGCATGCAGGAGGTCCCAGGTTCAGTCCCCGGCACCTCCAGTTCAAAAGGACCAGGCAGGAGGTGATGAGAAAGACCTCCGCCTGAGACCCTGGAGAGCTGTAAAGAGGGGCCGTGGCTCAGGTGTAGAGCCTCTGCTTGGTGTCAGGTAGCCCTGTCATAGTTCTGGAATGTGGAGGGGTACCCTCCCTCTCGTTCTCAGCTCCATCCTGCTCAGCTACTGTGTGCTATCTTATGCTTGACCTTGTAGATGTTCCAGCTGCAGTTTCCACGGCTGGGAAAGTTAATGGCTTTTCTGCTATGCCCGCTTGCTTTGCCGCGCACGTGAGTTCTATCCATTGGCTCATGCTTACAGGGAGAATGTTTGATTTCACTGTAAGTCAGAGGCCCTAGTACTGATGGCCATTCCTGACACAAGCTGTACACGTGTTCTTTAGGACTGGATCCACTAATAAACAGTTATCATCTTATGAAGCCCTGTGTGGTGTGACCTGACTAAGGAGGCTGACACTTGGCATGCAGAAGGTCCCAGGTTCAACCACCAGAAGCATCTCCAGCTAAAAAAGGACCAGGCAGGAGGTGATGGGAAAGACCTCCGCCTGAGACCCTGGAGAGCTGTAAAGAGGGGCTGTGGCTCAGTGGAAGAGCCTCCGCTTGGCATGCAGAAGGTCCCAGGTTCAATCCCTGGCATCTCCACTTAAAAGGAAAAGGAAGTCATTGATGGGAAAGACCTCAGTCTGAGACCCTGGAGAGCGGCTGCCAGCCAGAGCAGGCAATCCCGACCTTGATGGAGTGATGGTCTGATTCAGTATAAGGAGCTTCATGTGCCCACGTGACCCTTGCACCCAGTTGGCATCCTCTGGTCTCCCGTCCCTTGGCTTCATGGATCCCTTCCTCCCATCCTCGGCTTCTTTACCAATCTTGGAGGCAGAAGAAACCAATCCAGGGAGGTAAGGATGGGTCGTGTCCATGACCTTTCGAGATCCTGACCCCACTCACCATTTCCTGGCTCCCGTTCCTGCACGGCTGCCACGTGTGAGTGTCGTTGCTGAACTGGACCTTGTAGGAAGTCACCCAGTCGTACCTGGTGGAAGAAAAGAAGAACAAAGGGGATGAGCCCTTCAAATACTTCAATCATGTCCCCCCCTCAGCCTCCTCTTCTCTAGACTGAACATTCCCAAGTCCCCTCTCAGCCTTTCCTCATAGGGCTTCTTGGTCTCCAGGCCCTGTTGTTGGCCCTCCAGAGGAACTGGCTGGCCCCTGTGTGAGACCGGAGGCTGGACTAGGTAGACCCTCAGTGGTCTGACCCAGCAGGGCTCTTCTGAGGTTCTTATCAGGGGAAGGCCTCTACGCCCTTTTTGTTGGCCCTCTAGAGGAACTGGCCAGCCGCTGTGTGTGATGGGATGGCTGGACTAGATGGACCCTCACTGGTCTGAGCCAGCAGGGCTCTTATGGTCTTAACGGAGCACCAGCTAATGTTTCAGCATCGATCCATTCAGACACAATCGTCAGACATCCATTAACATGAAAGTTGGAGGTATGTGGGCAGTGCTAGGCGCATCTTTTTAAAATGCACACAGGCAGCTTTCCTCTTCTCTCGGCCTGTCCCTGCCGCTCAGTCTGGGTGCACTTACGTCCAGATGGAGTTCAGCCCTTGGGTGATGACCCCCGTGAAGCGCGTCGTCCGCCTGGCATCGATCTCCAGCCACTGGCTCCTGTCTTCGTGGCTCGCGCACCAGCCTCCATCGTAGAAGTCACCGTCATTGATGCCAGACTAGAACACAAGCAGGGGTAGGGGGTAGTGTTCCCTCTAATCTGAGTTAGTGTGAGCTAGCTTGCAGTTTTTTAGCCTCTGGCTCACACATTTTTGGCTTCGCTCATGAAGGATGGCTCCAGAACAAACTAATTGATGCGGTAGCCAGATCGCTCGCTCACAACTTTAATGCCAGTAGCCCACAAAGTAGAATTTTTGCTCACAAGACTCCACAGCTTAGAGGGAACATTGGTAGGGGGTGGGGAGTTAATAGAGAGAGGCTGCAAGACACACGTCCCTCCCATACATCTGGCCGAAATCCAGCCTGCAATGGCAGGAGGGGTCGTTTGGGGTCAGGCTGAGAGGCGCTTAAGGCAGGCAGACGAGCAAAAGAATCCTGAGCCCCCCAGTAGTTAGGAACAATGCTCCCTCTTAGCTGTGGGCTCTAGTTTGATGTAGTGGTTAAGTGCATGGACTCTAACCTGGGAGAACCAGGTTTGATTCCCCACGCCTCCACATGCAGCTGCTGGTGTGACTTTGGGTCAGTCACAAG